AAGAGTTTCAGGTATGACCACAGGATTTAGAAGCCCATGTCCTATTAAAAGTCATTTTGCATTTGGCTTCCTAGGTAATTTTGAAAAATCTCCTCCCAAAGGTTTAATTGACAAGAGTATGATGAAAAGTTAAAAAGCAGCACAACCATTGTTAGAATTATCATAGAGCCTCCAGTTTCTGTTTTGCTTATGAGGGCTGCATACAGACTTGGGAAATCTGCTTGTAATGTTAAATAACACCCTATGGTTGAATATCAGCTTTAGTTCAAAGGATGAAATAGTAACTGCTGCCTAACAAAATTTTCCATCACCTTCCTCGTTTTCATAGCTTGGTGCCTGGGCTCCTGTGGCCTGTCACAGCCATCACAGTTACATTCCCTCTCAGACTTGGTAGCTGTTACACATGAAGAATGATACTGCTCTGACTAAATCCCCTACTTAAAATCCAATGTCATACTTTCTTTTAGAAAAGGTTCTTCCAAACTTTCTGTGTAATGTAACTGGTAAAGTAAAGTAGTCTGATATTATGAGCTAGAAAGAACAATCTGTGGAAAAATCCAGTGTAACTGTTAGTATCGCCTACCTAGGTAAGTGAATAGCAATATTCCATTTAAGCAGTCTTTCTCATAAATATGTGGACTAAAAAACAATTGTGGAGGCAAGAAAGTTAAGGTAACTCTATGAAGTATAGGAAGAATCTACAATACCTTACAGATCTCACTCCATTCTCCTCGACCACTTGCATTGACAACATGGACTTTAAAAAGATATTCTGTATTTGGATCCAGGTTATGTATCTCAAGGTTCTGCTGCTACATTTTGCTTAGCTGGCCAGCCAGTTTTGTCTGGACAAAGTTATCAGGACCAATACCAGCAACTTCATAAAACTCTGCCTCAAAGAAGTCCACATCTTCTGTGGGACATGTCCAGTCAATCTGTGAGGAGAAAAAAATCTGTACTACACAATTAAGTACTCTTTATTTTTGCTTATTTTTATTTTTGCTTTTTTGGAAGGCCCTTGTTTGGCAGATTTTAATTTTGAAATGCCAATGCAGCTGAAATTCCAACCGTAGCATGAAATAGATGTGGAGGATATGCAGTTTGTGGTCTTGGAAAATGCTAAGCTTCCTCCTGGGAATTTCACCGTACCCTCTTCTAACACACTAAAAGTAATGCAGGCTGACAGCAGTCAGCACTTTGCAACATGCACTTGGGATCTTATGCAACTGGCATCCTGGTCTTGTTAGCGTCTATGAAATGTATAATAAGGAAAATTACATGGATATCATGTTGTCACATTGAAGACCAAGAGCAGGATCAAATTTCATCTGATGTACAGATATTTAAATACAAACATGGTGCATCTATATCTTTCTACATTGGACCTTTTCATGTAACATGTTTATGTCACATATATAACACATATAACAACCCTATTGGCTACAGTAGGAATGTGATACGATTCAATTTATGCTTCAGTTTATCTCAAAAAGTGAGTTTGAAATGCATTGTCTCCTACAAATAAAGTGTTTGAACTGATATTCTAGTTTTATTTACTCAAACTCCTCTGGGTTCAGACTCTATAACAGCCTGACGATATAATGGTCTCTTGTATATATTTAGAATTTATTAATGTCTGTCTTTGGCAGACCTTGAGTAAACAATAGTCTGGTATATAACAACAGTTTCTGGGACTGGAACCGATTCGTTGTCTATAGGTTCTGGACTTGAAAAGTTAACAATCTGATATTTTTCTTTGTTTTCTTGGAGTTTCACAAGCTGTATACTGGTATACACACACTTCATTAGTCTGTGTAGGATCATGGGGAGGTGTAGAGCTTGGTCTTCTGACAGTGTCTGTAGACAGCACAGCTAAATCAAACAAGGAATTTAAAGATGGGCTTTGGAACAATGTTGCTTGCTTGGATTTGCAAGAACTTGAAACATGCCTTGGAACCATTATCTCTGGCTTAAAAGAATAGGGATATTTTTCTGCTTTACTTTCTGACTGCTTTATTCCACTAAGGGGTGGAAAAGTCCCTGTAAAACAGAGAAAATTTCATTGAAGTTGAGTTGATGTTTCCTTAAGGGATCTTCTTTTAGATGCGGACTAGGTTGAAAAATGAATGGAACTGCATTTTCTATTTCTTTCACTAATCAGTGTGCTTATTGCAGAAACACAGCTTGACTTTCCTCCTTAAGAGCCTCTTTAAAGTAAAGAATAAGGCCATCCATATATGATAGCTGACTGGATGTATATTTTATGTTTTCTGAAATTTCTTTCTGTTCTTTAAGTTCAATGTTTTCAAGCAACTCCATCATCTCCTTTTCTTGTTCATGAAGAACCATATGTAATTTTAAGAATCCATTTCTGATCTCCTTTCTTTTGGTGTCCTTATAGGTCTTGAAATTATTTTTTAACAGGATAACTTCCATTAGATCATTGTCAACTCCTTAACGTACTATTTAAAAAAAAAATAAATCAGGTCAGTAGTTCCAAATTACTACTGAAATGTAGTGGTTACAAAAGACAGAATGATAGATTTTAGCCTAAAGGAAAATCAGCTTGTGTAAAACCTGGGACAAGGATAAGGATTCTGATATTTTTCTCTCATCTCTGCTGCTGGTAAGCCCTGAGGGAAGTTGTTTGTGTTAAAATGTTCATGTTTGGATGATGTAAAAAATTTGGCACTTAATTGCTACTTTATTATTATTTCCTCACTTACTCAAATTTATTTCCCCCGAAATGGGCTTGATAATTTTTACTTCATTACATGGGAAATCCTGAAGCTTAGTTTATTGTAGCTCTGTATTATCTTTGAAGATTCACTATGCTAGTATGAAGTTAAAATAATGGCAGTAAATGCACCTGCATAGCCCACATTGTGTCTGTGGCTGGCAGTACATTCCTCTGACGGTGGTTATGTGAAGGTGTGATTAACTCTTCTGACACTAAAAAAGTGACATTGCTCTGTTACCTCAGAAAAACGTGACTGCTTTGCCTCTTAGCATGGGCATAAGCATAAAACTGACTGAAGAGGGACAATTCATACGTTACCTGCAGGAGAAGAAGCAGTTCCTCTTCAAGTATATATTTGTGATTTAAAAATATTCACCATTTTATTCTGCAGATGTAATTAGTGTTTATTCCATGCTGGATCTTGCAGTATGAAATGAAGGTTCCCCTCCCTAGATGCACATTTCTGTTCCCATCCCACATAAAGATCCTTCATTCTCTAATAGCTGAGTCTGGCTCATGATGCCGCAATTATGGGCTTGTTCCTTTTGTGTTTCTACAGTGGCAACACACTACTTTTCTGACTCTTGTGCTGTTCAGAGAATTAATATAGCTTGTCAACCATATGTTCAAGTTTCTTTCCCGAGGAGGCATGGGGGAAGTGTGAGAAGCAGCAGAGATACAAACCTTTGCTAAATTTTGCAATTGTATCAAAGAGGGAAGTAACCTGTCTTGAACACGCGACTGCCCATGGAATACTCTTGTGCTGATTGTGCACTGAGTTCTTGCAGACCCCACAGATCCGTTCGTGGTCGTCCAGGCAGTATTCAGAGAGGTTTGGGTTGCTGTACAGTAAGCAGCACCACTGTTCATGATCTTCTTGATGTGCTTTGGTGAAAATGTGGTCTTGAGCACCATTCTCACTATGATTTAAATGCAGACATTCATTATAATAGCTATTTCCACATGTTCTACATCTTTTGGTTGCCACTCTTCTCTCCCTGTAGGTTTCACAGTAGTCTGGTCTCTCCCCATGGTCAAATCTCCACCTCAGAAAGCCATGTCTGTGCATATATTTCTTGGCTAGTTTTGCTGTAAGGTAATTCTCCCTCAGCTGATTTTTATTTGTGTAAAAAAATGTTTTGCTACACACTGGGCATATGATGATATAAAAGTTTCCAATTACTTCAACTTTGGTCTTGCTTTTAGTTATATACTTCTAACAACTGCAGTCATGGCATGGCAGCATAAATGGCTGGAGAAACGATTGCTTACACAGTGGCAAGCTTGTCACAGAAAGCATGGCTGGAGACATTCCTTTCTGGTGTAATGACAAATGCATTATTCCTAGTTCTAAATCTTGACATGACATCTTTTGACCTAAATAATATTGGGGAAAAAAGACCAAACAATGCTGAGAAGTCAAACAAAAATATCTGAATACTAGGGTACCATCCAAGATGCAAAATTATAACGTAAGCGGTTCTGCTTTGCATACCAACCATCCTTTTATTCTGACTGGCTGTTTTATTTAAACTATTACTATCAAGAATCCTTTTTTTTGCTTTTGCTTTTCGTAATTATTTTGCTGCGTGTTGAATACTGTTGCCAACAACAATAAACAACCATCTCAGTTGTTGTAGGTCTGTATGAGTTTGTTGAGTTATTGCTGGTGGCCAAACACAAAGAAGAATACAGTTTGGTTTAGTACAAAATGAAATGTATGTATTTTTTCTCCTTTTCTTGTTTGATTATTTTTCAAAATGGAACCAAGAAATAACTAGAGTGAAGCAAAGCATCAGGTGAAACCCTTTATTTTGTTTCAGAGGGTATTAAATACTTAATTTTACAACAACTTTGGTAATTTTTTAAGAATATTTTATTTTTAATGAAAATGTAAGACAATAAATGTCAAAATGCTTTTCTTTTCCATTTTCAAGGTGGAATATTTCCTCAAGAAAGTAGCACAACTGTTTCACCATTTCCAAAAAAGTATTGAAGACATTTCTGCTTATCGTAACAACATACATTTACATATGATCATCCTAATTTTTTAGTCATTTAAGAAATCACTCACCTCTGAATTATTTCTGATTTCTGGAAAGAATGAAGTTTATTCTTAGTGTTAATAGCAACCTTGTTATCATTGATTCTTTATATTAATTGCAAAGACTTTCAAATGGGGATTTTTTAAAAAATTATTATTTTATTTTAAAAGAGGACTAATTTTTCAAGATGTGCTAATCCCTGTTCTCTTCAAATCTTGATAGTTCTAACCTGCCTCTTAGCCTGTGGACGTTATCCTTTTAAAAATACAATATTAGTTTTACAATGCCTCCTTGAATATTTTCCATAGCCTTGACATAAGCATCGCTGTTCAAGATGGACACCTGGTTCTAGGCCTCTACGGTCTGGCCCTCTGCTGTGCTTCTCTTTAGCATCTATATTGTTACTGTTTTCCTTCCCATCTTCTCTCCTCAAATGTTCAACCAATCTATCTGCTTTTTCTGTCACTCTAAACAAGAATAAAAAACCTAATAAACTAAAGAGAATAGAATCTTCTATTGCTCTGAGGATTCCTTCTGGTCTTCAAAGTTTACCTAGCTAGGAGTTAACCGTGCATTTCCAGAGCTTCTGTCAATTCCTCTCAGGTTGGTACTATTCTAGTCTGGAGTTCTGACAACTTCATTTCCGCCCTCCCCCCTGCCCCTCCCTTTTTGTAAGTGCTCTTTGCTGTAGCGTTTCTACAGTTAATAATCAGTCCCTTCCTTTCTGGTTTCCAGTTTTATATTCTAAGACTGTTATGATGCTTTTTTTACATTTTCTGTGTGGCATTTCTTGAGCTTTTATATTTGTCTCCTTTTTGTCGTCTTCTGAATATAACTGCCTCCTTCCACTTCCAGTTAATAGTAGTTTTACTGCTCTTTGTTTTTCTCCAATTTTCCCTGTATCCTTGCCTGCAGTACCCTTGCTATGCCAGTTTTCCTGAATGTCTTCCTTGTTGCTACATAGGGTTTTACACTGTGAGAACGTATAACCATATATTAGGCATTCATGGATTTTGTCTGGAAATCAGGTGGTTCTAATTACAAGTGCAGTGATGTTCTGGAGTAGTCTTTGCCCCAGTCAGAGTAATGAGCATAAGTTTTCACTAATATCAACATAAAACTACTTTTTCTGTTTCTCAGAAGAGTGATACCCTGTGGTTATTTGAAATAGCTCTAACTTACCAACAGATCATTATGTTTCCAAATGCAGCATATCCATTAAGATATAACATAAATTAGAAAAACAAAACCACAAGAAATTTTACTCGAACAGTTTCTGGTGTTCTTGAGTGATGTGGTTCATCGACAGAACTTCTGCAGTACTTGCTTTCCATAATACTGAGAAGCTGAATTCTCTCACTGCAGCAGCAGCATTTGCAGTCTGGGTCATTTGAACAAGAGCAGCAGCACCGCCAGCAGTTTGCATGCTCTGCACACGAGCAGTGGCAGCACTGGGAAAGTTTGTCTTCTTCATACGGACATGGGAAACAGCTGCAGTTCTGCTCACTGGTAAATGAGAAGCACCAACACAAGCAGCGTTCTTCCCTTCTGCTGTGGCAAGTCAGGTAACAGCAGTTTAAGCAGCATGACCAGATCGAACAGGGATGCCCATTTTCATCCATCCATCTGTCAGATACTTGGAAGAAAGTTCGTAGATCCTTTCAGCTTCTCTGCACACTGCAGGAACTGAGCTCCAAAAGGACACGAGCTCTGACTGTTGTGTCAAGATCTGTGCTGTGGCAACACGCTTCATCCTAATTGGAAAGTGATATCACAGTGCGATATTAAAATAAGGGCACAGGTAGAATTTTATGCGCAGGTACCTGATGTAGTGATTGCATCATCTGTACATCATGATAACGATAATTGTTCTTCCGGAATTCCTTGAAAGCCTTTACCTCATTCTTTGTTAATTGCATGGGGAATTTATACACTTGGCTTAGATGCTCTAAGGCCACTGTCTCCTTAGGACCACACACTTCTTAGGCATTTTGTCATCTCAACTGGGTGCTGCAAGCAAACCACACAACTCAGGCCCTAAACAGTGACAGTGAGAGGTTTCTCATCAGGCCTCTGTAAGACTGTAACTATAACTAGCACATGTGAAAGAACCTTACACTTAAGATGCATCTTGAAGCCCTTATGTGCCGGTGTCTATGCTCTTGAACAATGTATGGCATTTGTTCCCCAAAGGCCTGAAGAAAAGAACTAGGCTTGGGTCACAGGTTCAGTGCTGTTGCTCATTTGCTGTACACCTGTCTCTTTCCCCACTGAGTCCAAGTGTGTTTCTTGCCCTTCCTTAAGCTGACCACTCTCCTATAAATGCAATATCAGACGTATTATTCCAGTTATTCTTTAGTTACTTTGTATTAGGCATCTTTTTCTTTCATTTAGTTAATTTATTCCAAGATTTATATAGCATTTTTTACCTATTTATAGACATGACCATTTTAAATAAAAATGAAATTTGTGGAAAGAATACATGAGCTTCTCAATATTGCATACTTACTATAGTGCTTATAAGTAAGCATTGCACTCGATGGTCTTAAAGGTCTTTTCCAACCTAAATGATCCTATGATTCTAAAGAAGGAAATCTACCCTCTAAGAGTTATCTGCAATTGACATCTGAAACAGCTTATTCTCTTGCTTGAAACTGTAAAGGACAGTGATATCTTTATGGTACATGTTCAAGAATACTGACTTTTAATGCTGGTTTCTCTACTGTAGGTACAGAATTTTTCCAAAATCTAGCAATGCAACTTGTGTTAATAGGTTAATGTATAATTGGGAGTTAGTAAAATAGGTCTTGACATAGTTTATTGTAACAGCTCCTTTGAGTCTGTTTGCTCAAAGTCTGTTCTACCCAGAGAAATTTTAATTCACTGATCCAGAGCCCTACAGACCATAAAGGCTGTGTCATTATGTGTAACCATTTACATGATGGGCCATAAAGATTCTTTGGAATGGTTATAGCCTATGTGTCAATTGGATTTTCATGCATAAGTACTAGATCTGTGTGCTGAATGGCTTTCCATAGTATAACCTGGACCTTTAATGGATGTTATTTATTCCATTTGTCTTTCCAGTTTAATCAATGGTAATGCTTTTTATTGTGCATATTTAATTCTGGGATATTGAGAGGCTTTTGAATTCGATCATTAGAAAAACTGTATCTTGTGATGCTTGTCTGCTTTTCTTTTGCAAAACATTGATGAATACATGTGAGTCTTTTTGAGGGAGGAAAGGTGAGTGAGTAAGGAAAGAAACAAAGTATGTCTTGTGTGCCACGTGCTGATGCTTGGCCATTCTTTTCCATTTTGACATAATACAGAGGCAGATAGCAACTTATGCATATATTGTCACCAACACATTTCTTTTTCTTGGATTCTCTGTGAATTGTGTTTTTCCAGAGTCTTGGAAAACTTTATCTTCTGCCCCGTATAATTCCTTATTTCCTGCTATCTTTAGTACTCCAGTTTTGCTTCACCAAAACTACCTTCATCGACAGCCTCATTCTTGTGCTGCTCCCAGTACAGGTGGCCCTCTCTGTAACTCGCTGTAGGCATGTAGCCAGTTCTAAAATGGTCCCATTTTATTCTTTAGCAAATATTGAAAGATCATATCAGACTGTCTGCCAGAGAAACTGAATTAGATGCCATAACTCTAACTTTTAAAAATGTTTACAAACATGTTCCCCCATGCCTCTGTTGTGATTTGATCTGATTGTCATTTTCATCATAGTTCTCATGATAGCCAGACTGTGATGTGGTTGACTTCACCTACAAATAAGCTTGACCCTGCAAGGTGTTGAGGAAAAAAAAAATATGAGAGAGAAAGAAAAGCACAGTATGGTGAGGACATAGGTTCAGTTGAAATTACTTCAAATTAGTGTGGCCGTTTATGCTATACTTCCATTAGCTATCAAACAACTCAGTATGATATTTTCTACCTGGCAACTTACTCTGTTCTGTTTTGCAAGATAAGCTAAGATTGTTGTTGTCATCTTCTTCCTTCCTCCTTTTGCTCTACCTCCAGATACCTCATTGGTATTTCTAATACTGATCTTTCTAACACAAATTTGAGAATGCACAATGATTAGTAATGTGCAGAAAGAAGCTTGAAGAAAGCCTATATGCTATCAGTGGCTTAACCATTCACTAGTAGTGTATGTAGTAACACCACATAAATCATGGATTTGTTTAGTTATAAAAGTGATTTTTCTTTCCGTATTTACACAGGCCACGATGACATGCTAAAATTACAGAGGCAGAAACTAATGACAATAATTCACATTTTTTCTCTGTATTCTGTGCTCCTAATACAGCAAAATAGTAGCTGATTCCATTGTTCTTTTCTGTGTATGCTGATGGTATCAAAGAGGATTTTTTTTTTTTTAGTGTGTTCATTCTGTCAATTACTATGTAGAAAACTAGCAAAAAAAACTTCTGCTGCCTTCAGGCGCTCCTAGAGGTGTAAGATAAACTTCTGAGTCAGGGAGAGAAGGAAGAGGAACTGTTACTGCCCTTAGGATGGGAAAGCAATGACCCTTCCTACAAAACCATGTGGTCCAGCAGGATTCACTCTCTAAAGAAAGCAGTAGTTTTTTCAATAAATTGCAGTGGCTTAAGAGATTAACTGACTGCAGCACATAGAAATGTCTGGTTTGGGGGGAAGGTTTAGAATGAAATATGAGAAGCCTGACATGGTACAACCCATTCATAATTGCATTCATAATTGAGAGTTGCTTCTGAAAGTATTATTTCTGGCTGGCCACGGCTTGCCCACAACAGCTAACAAGAGAAGTGGAAAAAACATCACTGTCCTTTCTTCATAAGAAAAATCTCCGTTTCTAGCTCTTTGGTTTTGCCATCACTGTACAACAAGTTAGAGAGCAATTTCCTAATGATGGGAATGCCTCGGAAATAGTGGCATTTACAGTATTCATTTTTTCTCATTTTCAAGAGTTTCATTCTTCCTCCTTCATTCAGCCCTTTGCCTGTAGCTAAATGGCTATCCTTGACTAACATTTCAAGCAGCAGAAATATTTTGATGGCTTCTATTAAAAAAAAAGGCATAGTTGATATACAAATCTCCACTATTACTCTCCACCTCTTCTGAGTAGAAAGTCTGAGATGGCTTGGCTGCTATGGAGGCACACTGGAGACAGCCGCCAGACTAGAGCTGGGATGGTGGTTTGCTATCAACGTTAGCAGCTGGTAAAGCAAAAGAGCGACACACACATGGTAAACTTAAGGCTTCTTCACTGCTCTAAAGCTGTATGAGAAGCATATCAAACTGAACTCCATATGCCTTTACCCATGGATAAAGAAATGGAGGAAAAATGATAACAAATTTTCTTTTACCACTTTTTGCTTGTAGATACAAGTGAGTATAATCTGATTTATTTATGTAGTCACTACCTGGACTAGGTAATACTAATGTATATTTTATAGTCATTCAAACTCCTCTTGACTTCAGAAGTATTTCTAAATACTATACACTACAAAAATTACAACTGTTATGATTGACTGCAAATGAGAAATATTGTATTTGGGGAGTATATTATTTGAGCCGGGGGAAAAACTAATAGCAGACAATGCCCATGGAAAGGACTCACTAATGACATTTTGTGTATGTCTTCATTAAAAAACCTTAACTGAGATCACATAGTAACACAATTAACACAAGAAATACAAAGCTAAGAACTGCCTAGAATGAAAAAAGAGAGGGAAAGTTATATCACACTTAAATGAATCAAATATTTTAAAAGTATCAGGGCCTAATATAATTCACTCAAGGAATATAAAGAAATATCTGAAATATTCACAGTGGTTTTAGGAGTTATTTTCTGGGAACATATGAAAGATGTTGGAAAAGGTACTAGACCAGATGAAATTTAAGATTACACAATTTAGAAGAAAATCCAAGCAATACCATTTTGGATGAGATACATTTCCCACAGAACAAGGGCTTTCTAGTGCTTGCGTGCCAGAGAAATCACAGCATTTCGTGCCTCTTTGCACAGATCTCAAAGGTATTAAGTGAATCACTACAAAATGCTTTAGAGGATCTGTTTGTCATAGATACTAAGAAACTACAACAGCATACTATTACTACGGGTCTGCATGCATGGTCTTTTACAACCTATTTATTATTCCTGCTATGTGAAGCCTTTTTGTCTTATGTATTACTGTCACAATGAGACCTGTCATTCTTTGGAAGAAATAAAAGTTTGGGAATTTTACAGAATGATTGGAAATAGTAGGTATGTAATATCTGTCTCTGGCTGATTCCACTCCAGCCCTCGTGTGCTTCGTCCTTGTCCTGGTGGCTGCATGCATTTCCTCTGTCTCATGGTTTTGTTGCTGGTTTGGCTTATTCTTGGTTCCCCCCGCACACCCTGTTTGGGTGCTTTTTCTTAGGCTCTGACTTTTTGAGCTTGCTTGTTCCCAGAGTAAGTGTGTTCATCTCCTTAAGGTGAGGTGTGCCTGTGCTGCTATTGAGACTACAGAGAAGAAACTCAAATGTTTTAGCTTAAGCACTTCAGCTAAAGCAGTGTTAGAACAAATGTAGCAGCTGCAAACCAACACATTTGAAATGTAAGGCCATACTACATTAAAA